TGGCCAATACTGCTTTTATACTTTTACAGGCGTAAAGACTTCATTCTAAATAAAATATTTAGAACTTTTGGAAACATTGGGATTTTTTAAGAAACTCAGAAAATAAAAATAAATTAAATTATTTTTTAACAATATTGGCCATAAAAGTCTATGTTCCTTACGGCGATGATTGTAACCGCGTCACGCTCATACCTGTGACGCTTACAATAATTGTTCAGAAATCAATTGACGGCATATGAAGAGGTATAAAATCGCTAAAATAATGTAAAAGATTGTAAAAATAATGATATTTTTAATAAAAATGATGATTACCCCTCTTCACAGGGGTTACATATTTACATACTATTCTATTGCTTGATGTCGGTGAAAAATAAGTTTAATCTACTATAATAATATATACCCGTCCCTCAATTTGCACAGCACTTTTTTCTGCACGAACTCTTTTCTGATACGGTAAATTATATCGGTATGTCTGTGGTAGTTTTGACGCTCCATCTTAATTTACACCGCTAGGATATGTGTTTTCCTTAAAGTTATAAAAGTAACAAGTGTATAGAGTAATTTCCTCCGCGATGCTAAAAACACAATAGTATTATAGCGAATATATGAAAACTTAATACAAGAAAAGATTGAGAATAAACAATTAATATTAATTTCTTTTAAATGATGTCGAATTTTCAAATATACTGCTTCGTACTGCGCGCGCGTGTGTGTGTCCTTAACGTAAAACAAATTCAGGTGAATCGAGTACTCCACAAAAATAAAACAGATGCATTTAAATCTTTTTCCTAAATGTTCTAAATTCCTGTTTAGAGTATTAAAGTATAATATCTTAAATTCTAACAAGGTGGTCTTTATTAGACTAGCATATCGACTTGCTTATAAAAAATTAAAATTTAATATTTCTTGTAACGATATAATATTTTTTTTTTTCAGTTCGATTGAAGTAATTATCATAATTTTCCTATTTCAGATTGGAAATAGATAGATAAAATGATAAAGAACAAGAGTGAGTGTGTTACGTACGCCGAACGTTTTCTATTTTGGGATTGGCTGTTCCAGCATAGTTAAAGACCACCGCGAAGAAAGAATTTAGTCTTGCCTAGTTTTCCCATCTACCAGAGTTTCCTTATTAAACTCCTCAGACAAAAATTCGTTAGACGAAAGCGTCGCGTTGAACCGTTCCCAGCGTTTCCACCACCACTCATTTTCCATCCATTTTTTGGATATAAAAAGGCTTGTGGAGAAGACGCGGACCCAGTTCACTCTTAAACGCAGACTAACGGGGAACCTCTGTCCGAATTCATTTAAAAATTATTACGTCAAGATTAGAGTAGTTTCTTTGTTAATCGAGATCGGATTAGAATCTCAGTAGAGAATTATTTTTATTATACAGTACGTAAATTTACTGTTAGGCATTTTTACGGACTTACTCTTGGGTCTCTGTTTCATTCGTTTTCCGTTAAAACTGAGGAGGACTAGATTCTCGCTTTGTCAGAGTCGAAACTTCCTTTAATTCTTAAACGTTCAATTCAAAGTACATTATAACTTTTGTGACGTACTAACCTTAAGCGACAAGTACACTAAACCACTTTGTAGAACCCGGTTTTGACAAAGAATATGTTGTATTATTCATTTTTATATTTAATTCTGCCTGAATTGATTATAATCCAAGTCCAAAAATTCCACCAGTCAGTGTGTCTTAGTCGCTCGAGGTATACCGGCACATCTATGTTACGAGACCTTATACTAACGTCTTCTTGACGCCGGCATTAGCCATACGTCGACTCATTCCCACGTCTAATTCCTTTGGCGCTCAGGTTAATTAACAAAACCTGAGTTAGCCTAATAATAACTACCATAACCCAATACAGCCCCCAGCCACGCGGCTGTACTCTTCCGGCTCATAACAAGTGAAAGAAGAACTTCTTCCCTTTGACGCTGGAATTTTTTGACCCTCTATTCTTCAAAACTAGGTCTACTTTTTTGCTGATAGTTTATTTTAAGCTCCAATACAGTTTTAGCAATAAAATCTCAGTTTCAATTTAAAATGGGCTATGATCGTTTTCTCTTGTACTCTTCGTTCATTATCATGAAATTTATTTATTAGTTTTTGGCTTTCACGATAGAAAAATAAAATATAATTTAATGCAGTGTACGTAGACATGAAATTTTATAATCTTTGATTGTATATTAAAATTATTAAACAATGAGCATTATTATAATCAAATAACCGAACATGCTCTCTTTTCTAATAAATTTAAAATTGTTAAGATTTCCTACCTGCACAAGTATCTCCAGTTCATCTTGTTTACTTTCAAATAACTGCACAAGAAGTTGTAATATTTTCGGATGTAATAAGGAATGGCAAACAACAACCTCATCAAGGAGTGCAAGATGTACAGGGCAATGTTCTGTACATAATTTAAAGTATGATGGCTCTGTTACAGTACACTCTACCCATCTAATTACACCTACACTCACAACAGGAAACCTAAATAAGATTCATTCATAAGGTAATTCATTCATTATAAATAGTAAAGCAATAATATTATCAATTAAAACATATCATACCTTATACATTGATACAAAGTATGTAATTCAGCTATCAATTCAGTAGAACCTTTATTAATGTTACAAATGTTATGAACCTTTTCTATAGCTTGAATAGTTGTCTTCAATTCATCTTTATTTAGTTTCCGCGAATGTCCTTTTTTTGCTGGAATATCACATACGCTAGCTGCATAAGCTAATAAATATATATATTTGGATTTGTGTTCAGGATTAATTTTTACGCCTGGCTTAAAAAGAGCATCAACAAGCAGTTCTGTAATTAATTATAAAGAGTAATCTTATAGTAGAAAACATACTCAAAAATAATAAATGAAATAAATATATATTACCCAAAAATTGAGGATTACGTAGCAATTCAATAGGTGGCGGTTCTGCAGTAGAATAATTTCTAAATAATACACTAATATCAGCAGGATTTAAAGTGTTTCGTGATAACATAGATGCCAATGCCTGACATGCAGTAGGACTATTTGAAGCTCCATTAAGAGCCATTGTTATTGGTGTAACATCGTGGTGACTATATGTAAAAATACAAATGATAAAAAATTATCGCACGAAATTGGTCACAATATTTAAGTATTTTTCCTTACTTTTGCTGAGCACATTTCGTAATTTCTTGAGAAAGTCTCTTCATCATAAATCCACCCCGAGATTCTTGAGCAAGTATTTGTAACAACACTTGACTGTAGACGTACGTGTGTTGTCCGTGACATACCATTTTCTGTTAATAAAAAATTATTTAAGAATGTTACGATATTATCTATGTTCTGAATGAAATTTATAAAATAGACTTATGCATATCTTTAAAAGACTTTAACGTATATTTTTTGATATAACAAAACAAGTTTTATTCCAGAGTACTAGAGAAAATATGTAAATATATGTATATAAGAGACCCGTTGATCTTGAAAACGGATATGGAATTCTCATGAAAAGTTGTATGTATACACACGAAATTTCCACACTAAATTAGATGGGAGTCATTAGGTAGTATATCCAATTTGGGGACTCGTCCAATCAAATAGTTATATTACCATCATGAGTGACGGTGTGAAAGACGAATTGCCTGAAACTGTGAAGTTGACGAATCAAGTTCGCGAAAAGACGACGTGTGATTATTGTAAAGTGACGTGTTCAGACAAAGTAATTTCTGTTTTTTTTAGACGTTAATTTGAAAAAAAAAAGAAAATTTTAAACGAATCGCGACAGGGGAGCGTAAAATCAAAACTGAAACAAAGACATCCAAGATTTGGATACGGTATTCTCTCCGTAAGTGTTACTTCTGCAGGTCTTGATTGTAACATTTACGGAATAGGTACAATATTCTCTCCGTAAATATTAAAATGATCTCTACCGTAAATGTTAAAATTCTATCCCTAGTACTAGGGGGATCCCCCTCGAAATCAGTCAAGAATGAAACGATCAGTCGCCGAAACGATGAAAATCGAATATCGGTGAGATACATACTAATGCAAGCAAAGGAAAAGATTGTAACTTTCTTATTTCTTACTATTTTTTCATGAAACTTTTACTGTTCTATTTGTCTAGGTTTTCTGATTAAAATGGCACAAAACATGATATAATTACGTTAACTGTTGGGTAATGGGCTGGATTTTATTCTATATAGGTTTTTCGACTCGGGAATGGAGGACGACGAACGACGGGAGAAAGCAGGGAGCTTTGTTCCAAAATCAAAGAGCCGGTCAGGATGCAGCAGACACGTAAATAACTGTTACGAAGTCAAGGGTTTAATAAAGGGAGGTAGACGAGTCAAACTCGCTTTCCTGGTAAAATTGAAATCTTGAGTTGTAGACGGTATGTTAATGTATGTTCTATTCTCGTTCTGTTTAGTGTTATCACGAGTATGTAACTCGTGGTAGTTAGTACACGGCAACAGCAGCGGTCGAAGGTCACCGGTTACAGCTGTTGCTTATGGATATCATCATCTTCGGCAGCATGAAATAAGTCATCGCTGGAAAAGAAGATGTTTTGTTACATCGTGTCGGGGCGATAGAGATCGGCCCCGGCCGATGCTGCTGGTGTGATGCTTGTAGAGGTGGCGTGGCCACTTGCAAGATCATACTGAAGCTGTCATGTCAGTGAGCAAGGTTGCTACTGAATGATGGAAAGAGGTCCTAATTGTCAACGGTGAAATGTGTTCGCTGTTGTTTGGTTACCACCTCTTCGCCGAATTCCAGTAGTGGTGGTGCACAACTACTACTGGAGACCGATGAGCGTTTCATGGTGATAGTTCTTATTGCCTGATCTGCGAAGCCGACATGTCAGTGAGCAGGGTTGCTACTGAATGTTGAGAAAAAGGTTCCGATTGTCAACGGTGAAACGTGTTCGCCGTTGTTCTATGACGTCCTTTTAGCCGGAGGCCAGTAGTGGTGGTGCACCACTACTGGATACGATGAGCGGTCACGACAATAGTTCTTATTGTCTGATTCGCGAAAGTGTCATGACAGAGAGCAGATGCTGCAGACTGTCATGATGAAGACATCAGATTTTTCAAGCAGTAAAAGACAACAGAATACCAGAAATATCAGCAAAAGGGGTTGCAATCAGGCAACTCTGACCAGAACCAAGGATTAAATGATTAAACGGCAAAGGCAAAAGCCGTGACGAAAAAGGGGAGTATTTACGGCTGCTACTCTTTGTTCGTTTTAGACCGGACAATTTATTCGGAGTCCAGAAGGACGTCTACAAAACGGAAATGTGTACTCAGGCAAATGTTAAATCTTTTGTTACAGAAACCTACTTAAAAGATTACGCGCTTGAGGAAAACACGGCATGCTTGAGGACAAGCATATTCGCAGGCTGGCCGAGTGTTGGGAAATTCCCAACTACACCCCAATAAAGCAGGGGACAAGCGACACATGGCCATCTTGACCCTGACCGCCCGGCAACGAAGCCTGGCGCGGCAACATCCGGGTCATAAAACAACCCTGAGGCCCAAGTTTCGCGGGGGCTGGGACACCTCGCGGAACGAGAAGAGGCCATTCTGGAAAGAGCGCTCGGAGTCGTCGTTTCTTCCCTGACAATCTTCCATAAAATAAAACGTATTTTTATAAACGGACTTAGCCCCCATCGTCTCAATTATTCACGTGTCTTACAAGTCAGAAGTGGGATCTAACTTCGTGTAAATCCGCTCGTGTTATCCAGTGCCAATTTTAGACGTTTTTACGCGGTTGTGCCTGTGAGTGGTGAGACGGGTTGTAGCGTGTGTCAACGGAATGGGGCGTCCAAGTAAAAAATCGCGGAGGTCCTCTCGAGATTGTTCACGGGGACGTTCGCGCGAGCGTGAACAATCGGAGGACCTCGTTCGTAGAAAATCGTGTGATGGTGTTCGTGATCGTTCGCGAGACGATTCGCGAGATCGTTCGCGAGATCATTCGCGAGGTCGTACACGAAGCAGCTCGCGAGGTGATTCGCGTAAACACGTGAGGTACGAACAGGAGGATCGTTCGCGAAAGCGAAGAAGTGATTCACCGAGAAATGATAGCGATCGATCAAGGGATAGAGATTGGGATGAGTCTCGTGAGCGAGAACGTGAGGAATCGCGGGATCGAAGAGGTGATATTTCACGAAGTCACAGGCGTGACAGGTCGCGGGATCGTCGACGTCGTCGTTCACAGGACAGCTTGGCCGAACATCAACGAGAATCATCGTATATTGATACGCGCGAAGAGCGAAGACGGTCATGGGACCGCGAACGAAAAACGCCGCGTGATCGTTCACGCCGTCGGAACCGTTCGATGGACAGCTCCGGTTCGGAGGACTTGCGTGCGACGGTGAAGCGGTTGAAACGGGAATTGCAAGCGGTCCGTTATCGTCCAGGGAATGAAGAATTCGTCATACCCAAGTTTGACCCTGCAAGAGATAATGCAGACGTGGAACAGTGGATACGACAAGTGGATCGTATAGCGAGGCGATATAGTTGGAGTGACGACAACACGTTGTTGGTCGTTGCTCGCAGCTTAAAAGGTCATGCACGACGTGTATACGACGAGGAACTCATAAATGACCATACATGGAGATCGTTAAAAACGATTTTGTTACGGCGTTTTAAGAAGTCGTTGCCGTTTGCGCGGTTGTTATTGGAGGCAGCCACTTACTCAGCCAGTCCTGGACAGCGTTTAGGTGATTATTGTTTTGAGAAGCTGTCGAAATTACGCGCGCTTAAACTAGACATCCCGGACGCCTACCTCGAGGATGCGGTAATTGGTGGCATTCAGGACGATAATATAGCTAGGACCATCCGGTCCAAACGTTACGAAGACGCAGATGAATTGTATGCGGCTCTGAATGAAATGGGGTCAATGCCGCAATTGACGAGCAGGCCACCAGCACCGCGCACATTTCATCGAGGGATTGGGGACAAGAAAGGGAACGTTCCGTCTGCGTGGGCGCCAAAACCTGGACCTTCGAGGGCTATGGAGCCGGTCCAGCGGTTGGTGATGGAGTGTTTCAACTGTGGGGAAGTTGGACACTCATCAGCACGATGCAAGAAGGAACGGAGTCGTTGCACGCTGTGTCAAACGTCCGGTCATTTAGATAAATTTTGTCTAAGAATTAAAAGGATAAATTCAGCGAGGGTAAGTTCAAATAAATCCAATATGTATTTATTACCGGCATTGATAGATGGCCACGGAATTGTTTGCTTGGTCGACACTGGTAGTTCAAGCACGTTGATCTCAAAGTCAGTGGCCTTAAAGCTGAATATTCAATTAATCAAGGACAATGAGTTGCACCTGCGAGGATTTACTGGGAGTGGAACGTCCACTGATTTGTTCGCTAATGTAACCATAAAAATTATGGAGGCCACAGCGAAGGTATGCGCGATAATTGTAGAATCAGATGCGATGTTATATGAAGCGATCGTCGGACGGGACTTTTTAGATCAACCGCATATCATGTTAATAAAAAGTAGAAGTAAGTTAACCATACGCGAGATATCGATAATCGACGAAGTATATCGGGACATTGTGGCTATTGATGCGCTGGAAGAAAACGTAGATTTGAGCGGTTTAATATTCGGCGATATAGGTGAAGAAAGCAAGGAATTGTGTAGGGCTCTTATTAATTCATACGCGGATAGAATCACGACTTCAATGAAAACGTTAGGCAAAACAAGCGCAGTAGAAATGGAGATACGTTGTACAACAGACGCGCCGGTATACTATAATCCTTATCGAATGGCGGAGGTTGAACGGAAGATCGCGCGAGAAATAGTTGACGAATTAATTAGTAACGGGATAGTTCGGGAATCCACTTCACCTTACGCGAGTCCGATAACGCTGGTGAAGAAAAAGACCGGTGATTATCGGCTGTGCGTTGATTATCGGAAACTAAACGCGATAACGATTAAGGACCGGTATCCGTTACCGCTGATTGAAGATCAAATAGATAGATTAGGCGGGAACGCATATTTTATAGGCCTAGATCTTGCTTCTGGATACTATCAAGTACCCATGAGTGAACATTCCATAGAAAAGACAGCATTTGTGACGCCGGATGGACACTATGAGTTTTTACGGATGCCGTTTGGGTTGAGCAACGCGCCCGCGGTATTCCAACGCTTAATTAATACTGTATTAGGATCGTTGAAAAATTCGATAGCCTTACCGTATATTGACGATATTATAATACCCTCAACCACCGTTGAAGAGGGTTTAGAACGGTTGAAAATAGTTCTTAATAGGCTTAGAGAACATAATTTAACGTTAAATTTAAAGAAATGTACCTTTTTAACAACTAGTATCGATTATCTTGGTCGCGAAATAAGTGCAGAAGGGGTTAAACCGGGACAGAAGAAGGTACAAGCCGTTTTAGAAATGCCAGCCCCTACCACGGTCAGAGAAGTTAGGCAGTTTCTAGGGTTAGCCGGATATTTCAGGAAATTTATACAGGGTTACGCATCAATAGTCACGCCGTTAACGTCGCTAACTAGAAAGAATACGCCGTGGAAATGGGGGGACGCACAAAAAGGAGCGGTCGCGAAAATAAAGGAAGCCCTCACGACGCGACCGATTTTAGCTATATTTGATAGCTCGTT